AGCAGCTCCCAGTTCAGACATTTGCTTATGAATTATAAACCACCTCAATTTTACACTTAATTAATTTACTGAAGGAGAATGAATTCCTGACACATTTGAAACAGGGAGGTTTTAAGAAAAAGAAATTTGGATCCAAGAGGCTGCAGAGCTCACAGGGCACCAACTATTTGTCTGTTGTGCTTATTCCTGATTAAAATCCTTTCGACCAAGCTACGTAAACTCTGTACTCTCACCATCCTTGGCTAGCTCAGACACACAGAAATTTACTAAAGATGGGTTTTGGCTGATCTTAGAACATCAGAACAGCAGTTCCCAAAGAGTGCTTTCCAAGGGATTTTAGTGCACTGTGTCCTGTTGCAACTCCAAATATCTGCACCTCTGTAGGTGCTGCTGCTTTGAAGAGCTTTGTGTGTTCTGTTGTGAGTGCTGGTGGTCAAACCAAGCACAAATCCATGTGCAGGGATGCAGTTTGCCAATCACTATTCCAGCACTGAAGAGTTGTGTGCTGATGGCTGCTGTGCAGCCAACCCACCTGTCAAGTCACAGGGAGAAATTACTTAAAATTAAGAACCCCTGGTGTAAATCAAATATTGATGAAAGGAGGCCTTTAATCACCTGCCTGCAGCTCCACGAGGCACTGCAAGGGTTGATTTCAGACTTATTTACTGAGTTCCTTTCACCTTTCCCCTCGTCATTAATTTGCTGGGAAATGCTAAATGGTGAGATGGAAGCCTGTTGGCTAAAGAACAGGTTTTTTTGCAAGCACTGCTGGTTCTGATACTCTTCCCCTCCACTTTTCTGCTTAAAGGAGACCTTCCCACACATACACACACTGCACAATGAACAGAGCAACCATGCCACTATCTATATTTTATTCAACATCATGATATATTTACTCTGTGTTCTTCCAGCTGCATGTTTTAGACCTGCTCATTAGTCTTGAGCCCTCTCTGGTTCTTTTTATCCTGGGAGATTTGACCATGGGTGCAGGTACAAGGACTTCACAGCTGAAAGTCCCTTAAATCAGGTGGTTTATCTTTGTCTGCTTGCTCAGTTCTGCTTAGAGGCAGCTGGGGGAGAGCGTTGGGAAGAACTTGGATACATTAAGAGATAGGGCCACATCTTTCCACTCAGTTTTAGAGATCTGACTACTAGCCAGGCACATTATTTTGGCTGGGGACAGTGCATTTTTTGATTGTTTGGTGCTTTTTCTCTGTCCTGGATTAAGAAGAGTTCAAAGCCAAAAAGGAAAGAGAGAATGGAATGAAAACAGTCATGTGGGGAGCTGTGAAAAACAGCATTGCTGTGAAGCTGGGATAATAAACAGTGACCCATGATGATCATTACTGAGCAGCTACAAAAGCACTGGGAAAAAGGGAAACATCACTCAGCTGCAATAGAGTCTTTAAGTGAGTGGTCTGAACATCCGCTCAGATGGTTGGGAAAGCAGCAGGGCTTGAGGGAGCCCAGACATTTTGCTATTAAAAACCTTGATGTCCTCTCAGCACTGAAGGCAGGAACACGTCTGGAGGTGCAGAGCATATGTTCAGCTCCCTCTCCTGAAGCTGGCTGCAGTCTCAGCACGGAGAACATTTAACTGTTTCCCCCATGCACTTCCTGCCTGATGCAGGATGCTGTCTCCCACAGCAATAAAGGAAATGATAGCCTCCCATATACATTCAAGTAATAATAAAATAAGAAGTAGGTAATAATAACCAGAGCCATATGAAATATGCACTTCATGAACCAAAATTAAACTGGAGAAATGGCTAAGCAGGAAAGGTCAGGGCTCATAAACTGAACATAATCTCCTGTGCTTTACGCCTCCCTCCCCAAAAGCAAATTAAATTTTAATGATTTTTGGAAGCTCTGACTGCTAAATACCATTTCCAACCTTCTGTATGAAATGACAGCATAACCCTAAGGCCAGTGAAAGTGGCCAAGACCGTGTACTTTTACACAGAGCGTGTTGAATTATTCCCTGATGTATAGAACATACATCCTGGTGGGATGATGCAAGCAGCTAGGACTGGGAGCTCTGCTCAGAGCTAGGGACACCAAGGTGATAAGAGGGGGACTTCAGTGTCCACCAGGACCAGCGGAGACGGTGTCAGGAGGTTGTCAGGAGCCAAGCAAGGACTAGAGGAAAAGGCAGAAACTGATGCACAGGAGGTTCCACCTGAATATGAGGAAGGACTTAGTTGTGCAGTGACTGAACACTGGGACAGGCTGCCCAGAGAGGTGAAGATTCTCCTTCATTGGAGATATTCCAGAACTTTCTGGACACAATCCTGTGCCATGTGCTCTGGGATGGCCCTGCTGGAGCAGATGATCTGCTTAGGTCCCTTCCAACCTGACCCATTCTGGGGTTCTGTGATCTCCACTGCTCTAATGCTGACAGTGCCATCAAAAATCCCTCCTAGAGCAGAAACAAGGGTGCTGTGTTCACTTTACATAAAATTAAACATCCACACTAACTGCAATATGTTGGGAGATAAGGCTTAAATTATTCAGGGAAGGTAATTTATTGATATAATTCAAAAACTGCAAATCTTTGCTTCAGAACACAGGTATGGGTTTTTTTTTCCTTTTTACTCTTTTTTCTCACTTCTACTCTATTGATATGAGTCTTTCATATTCTGAACTCTATTCAGTATCCATAAATCAAGATGATAGAACAAAATTAAAGCCTAACATGGTTTCTAAGATATTTCTTCAGCTTCAGATGAATTTTTTAGTCTTTGAGTGAAATTACAGGAATTAAGCTGGGAAGTAAAACAGCACAAAATTAATGTGGACCCCAGTAGGAAAATTTTAAGACCCTGGTCTAATGTGTCTGGGATAAAGAAAAGGAGCTCAATATGAAATGCAGTAGAGGCTGTATCTAAGTCAAACCACAGGTAACTCCTTACATCAAATATTTCCTCCATGTTCATCTCAACTGCTAAATAAACAACTGAAATTGGCAGCAGATTTTAAAAGGGTTGTTGGTGGTTTATTCAGTTACTTGAACTGGTTATTTGGTTTACATATTTGTTTAAAGCTTGTTTGTTTTCAAATAAAATGAACACAAAATGCAAGCTAATAATAGTTTTTAAATTATTTTTCAGACCAAAAAATAATTAAACTGGAAGAGTAAAAGCTTTCTTAAATATATTCTGCACTGACTCAGATGTATTAAATAAATTTGCATGAAAAAAGGATGGGTTTTTTGAGAGCTTTCTAAGCATACAAAATCATGGCATTCACAATAAAAGGCAGATCATCAAAGTACAAACAAACTTCAACTTTCATCATAAACAAATACTATTTCTACTGCCAACCTGTACATCACCATTCATTTAAAAAATAATCTGCAATGATGAATCTTTCCTGTTTTACAGATGAAGAAATAGGAATTAAATTTCATACAGTCAGCAGAAAAAATCTGGACTAAAACTTGTTCCCAGCTCATCCTGCTCTGATTGTTGGACACACTGGGAATTAGAATTAGTGTGTTGTTTAGAAGTATGGGAAAAGTGACTGGCAGAACACAAGAAAGGCAGAGGAGGTGCATAAATAAAAAAAAAAAGCCAGCCTTTTCTGATGTGAGACTGTGGTGATGACAATTGCAGAACAAGCCTCTCTTTACAAAAATCAGATCATCTCCAGGTCATTATCACACTTGCAAAACCTCTGAGCATCGCTGACTTTTCACAGCTTTTGTGCTCGCCCATCTGTCAGTGCCTCCTTGTCTTCCTCAGAGGCGGGGATGAATGGCAGGGAAAGCAGCGGGGTAATTACCGGGGCTGCAGTCTCGGGGGGTGCCCCCTTTTGTGCGGGGAGTTCTCATCTATTCTTTAGAGACACGCAGAACAGTCGGGAGCGCTCCTGCGCTGCCTCAGCTCTACACTTGGGGGGCTGGAGAAGCATTAAACACAAAAAAATTAATAAATAAATAAAAACAAAAGGATAAGGAGACTCACGCTATGCAGATAAATGCATTTTGGTGGAAGGACTGATTGCCATTTAACTTTCCAGCCCACTCACGTTGTAATAAGGTCACAAATAAATAAGTGGTTCCACAGTAAAACTCCAGGAGCTGCTTGCTGGTGAGAGGAAAACTGATGTCTTTAAAAATGATTTGATGGGTGCTAACATCTTTGAAATGGGTCTTAATGTCTCTACTAGCTCCAAGCAGCAGGTTTGCTGCAGAGCCCAGACAGCTTGGCTCCTGAAACAGAGAAGTGGGTCTGCACAAACCTGAACTTCTGAACTTTGGGGTAAAACAGTAGGTTCAAGGGGGAATTGTTCAAATAGGCGGCTGGGGGAGGCTGTGCCTTCCCGGTATCTCAGCCGGTGGGCACCGAGAGGGGCCGGTCAGAGAAAATGCCGAGGCAACCCACGGCCAGGGCGGGCAGTGAGGCGATGTCTGGGGAAGGATTTGTCCAGGGGGAGTGTGGAGAAACACGGTTCATGCACACAGAGCGGGAGGCGGTGTGGTAAGGAAAGAGCAGCGAGGGCCGGGAAGTTCTCTGCCTTGAAAGCCTGCAGGCCCATAGAGGCCAGCTGCGAGTCGTTTGTACCGCCGGCTTCCAGAGAGGGAAAGCAGGGAGGTCGGCATTGATCCTACAGCCCCAGCGACCCCCGGGACGTTTTGGTACCACGGTGGAGGGACCTGGTGCTGTGGTGATGTACAGAGCTTGTGGGGATGTACAGAGCTTGTGGGGATGTATAGAGCTGGTGGTGCTGGCAGGGCGGCCCTGGGGCTGGATGGATCTGGTGGGATGTGGGGGTATCTGGACACTGCGGCTGGACAGGGACTGGATTTGGTGAGGGGTGGGAGGCACAGGGACAGGGACAGGCTGTGGTGTGAGGCACAGGGACAGGCTGTGGTGTGAGGCACAGGGACAGGCTGTGGTGTATGGCACAGGGACAGGCTGTGGTGTGCCCTGTGAGGTACAGGGACAGGCTGTGGTGTATGGTACAGGGACAGGCTGTGGTGTGCCCTGTGAGGTTCAGGGACAGGCTGTGGTGTGCCCTGTGAGGGACAGGGACAGGGACAGGGTGTGGTGTGCCCTGTGAGGTACAGGGACAGGCTGTGCTGTATGGCACAGGGACTGCCTTTGGTGTGCCCTGTAAGAGACAATGTGTCACCAAAGCCCGGCCTGATGCACGAAGGGATTTTGTGTGGCTCACTGGGGAGCTGAGTGATTTTACAGAGTTTGGTGGCTGTGTGTGGGAGGGTGAGAGCCCACATGCAAGGGGTGGAGAGGTGGCTGAGTCTTCCAGGAATTGGTTAGAAAGGGATCTCAGGTATATGAAAGATGAGAAAGAAGGAATGAGGAAAAGGTAAGGGTACAGGCAAGGATGATGGCGCAGTTTTTACAACCACCAGTTGGAAAAGCTGCAGGGAGCCCCAGGAGCAAAGGGAAGGGGGCAGCCACCAGGACAGTGACTGGGAAGGAGTCAGTGTGGCATTTGTAAAAAAGAACATTGGAAATGGATTGTTAAGGGTGTCAGGATCTGCTATTGTACCTGGGCTCATCACACTGGAGCCCTTGCTGGACCAAGAATTGTTTCCTGGTAGACATGGGAACTTCTCTGTCTGATGTGAATTTTATGCCAAAGGGGGAACAATTGTTCAGCTGTTCTTTTGCCAAGTGGGCAGAATGAGCAGGTGCATTTGGTTCAAGCACTGTTGGTGAATGTGTGTGGATGGGAATGAGCACTCTGGGTGTTATATCCACAGCTGCGTCTACCCATTCCCTTCAAACATGTAGTACAGGGTTGGGAGAGGCCAGGAAGAACGAGACATGAACAGTGTTGTGTCCACTGGGTTGTTTTACACTTTTTCTCTATGGAACAATATTTATCACTTTTGGTTTTTTTAACCCAGTTTAAGGCTCTGTACTGACTGTGTGTGGCAAAACTGAAGGGCTACCACGAGCCAGCTGAGTCCTCTGGCTTGCTCAGATCATGCTGCTGAGGAGCCAGCTCCTTGGGAAGATGGATAGAGGGACTAGGTGAGGATAGAAGCTGTGGGAGAGTCTGCTTTGCCTCCCTGCCCCTGCCAGCCTGGTTCTGGGACCTGGCTCTGGTTCTGGTACCTGGGCTGCTGCAGGCTGCTCCTCCCTGGGAGCTGAGGGTGCAGAGCCCCAGGGGCTGCCTGAGGTTACAGGGGTTTCTTGAGGTCACTTGGGGTTTCTTGAGGTCATTGGAAGCTCTGGTAGGAGTTTCTTGAAGTCACTGCAGTCCCTGGGAGGCTATCTCTCTCTGTTAATGGACTATCAAGTCTCACTGCATGCCTCATAAATTCCATCATCCCATTGTGAGATGCTCCACCCAGAGGGAGGAACCAAACACCCACCTGGTTATAACTGGGGGTTTTGGAACACCAGAGCTGCCTTTTTTTTATAGGATTCCCAGGGGACAAGCTCTACATAACCACCACTGGACCTTCAGAAGAAGACCAGAACCTTCCACAGGATCACTGCTTCATCAGAATCACATCTGTCACTCCAGGAGGATTGCAGCCACCATTTAACAGGACTGCTACCACCACTCTGACCCCCAGAGTGCCAGGTTATATCCTGACTCTGTCAGTGTTTCTGTATTATTGCATTTATTTTAATTTCCCTATTAAATTGTAGTTCTGACTTGGAATCTCCCACTGGTTTATTTTCAGACTGGTACATATTTTGGCACCCAATTTGGGGCCAGTCCTGAGAGAAGCCAGAATTAGAATTTTGTATTACAAAAGAACCTATTCACCATGATGTTCAACATGCTTACATGGGTCTTATACCTTGCTCTCTATATTTTTCTACACAGGGTGAACTACCTGCCTGCTGTAATGCTCCTGTTGAGACCAGGGAATGGTATGAAACTTGCTTTATTGGTTTATTATGTCTATTGCAAGATAACCTCTGAGGCAGTGAACATCATTCATAATATACATTCAGTTTTGTTTGTTTGTCCTAGTCTGGGCTGCTACATCTGGGTCTTCCTCAACAATGACACCCAGCCCTTGGGTGTAAGAGTAGAGACTGGTTTCTTCCAGCCTTTCAGACCTGACACGGAAGTTTTTTAAAATATTGAGTTCTTTCTGGATGTTAAAGATGGCATAATCTTGTTAGTTCTTCTTTGTCTTCTCTGTACAGCCTGCACCGTGTATACCATGCTTGGGAACACAACATGACCTGGTGTGGCACAATATCTTCTCAAGGAGGAGGAAAGAAGGAGAAAGTCAGCAGACACCACATCTGCACAGCCTGCCACAGAGGGAAAAGGAACCCAAAGGGCAGTCCGTGCTTCCACACAGATCATCACCAAACCAGGACAGCCCGAGCCAGCAGCAGCTGCCCCTGTTCAGAAGAAGAAATCCAAGAGCAAATCCATCCACACAGTGACTGATGAGGAGGTGGCCAGACCCTCACACCCAGCAGAAGAGCCAGAGCCAGGGGTCATCACTCTCTGTCTGTCCCTGGGTGGGCTGCCAGATTCCCCAGAGCAATGAGTCCATCCTGGCCTGGCTGCTCTGCCTCTGGGACACCACAGCCAGTGACACAGCTGTGGACAGAAGTGAGGCCAGGCAGCTGGGATCCCTGTCCTGGGATGTGCTGGTGCCCAGGAGACCAGGAGAACCCAGGAAACTCTCAGCCTCTGGCAGTGGCTGCTGGTGAGGGTTAGGGATGGATGCCTTTGTAAAGAAGACCTCCAGGTGCACCAAGGGAAATGGAGCACAGTGGAACAAGGAGATATTTTTTCCCTAAGAGCCCCAAGGGTGTACAGTGCACTTTGCAGATGTGGTTGAGATTTGCATGTCTTGGACCAGAGAGATCCTCCTGTCATCTGGAGATGCTGCAGTGGGGGGAAGGAGAAGACAAGGTGGGAGCACTGGTCAGCAAGCTAAGAATTTACAAGGGCACTGTCACTGCCCTCTTATGCACCCATGACTTGTCCATGGAAACAAAGCTGCTTGAGCACGTCTGGAGCTTGGAAGAAAAAAATGAAGAGGGCCACCAGAAACTGAGAAAGGAGCTTCAGGAAGGCATTTACCACATCTCACCAGAACCAGCTAGTCTCTGCCTTTAGGAGTACATGTCCTCCAGCCAGGAAGAGAAAATACACTCCAAAGTAACCTCTGTTTTTTCTTTCAGGAACATGGGATGGAAACCCCCCCTCCTCCTCCTTAGCAGCCTGGGTTCCTGAACAGAAAAGAGGAACATCTACCAGAAGCAGCTCATCTAGAGTCAACAGTGCTCTGGTCTCATGGACAGAACTCTGGTTGGTATAGGAATGATAATATTTTTCTGATTCTCTTGAAGGGACCTCGGGAACACATTTACAGGAGGAGACCAACGTGTGCCTTGGCCAGTATTAGAGGGGCCCTGCCTCTAGCCAGGTGGAGGAAAGGGGCAGGAAGATTTATTGGACTGTGTGGATCCCATGGTCTGGCACAGCTTTGGTGGACACCAATGTATCCTGATGCCACCAAGGTATGTGGGAGCAGAACCCATTTGTATTTCTGGGGTGACAGCAGGATCCCAGCAGCTGAAGTGAATTTATCTGAGAGTGGCTGGCCCAGATAAGAGTCTCCTGCATCTTCAGCACAGACCACCTCAGAAAAGGGTATTTCAAAGACCCAAAAGGACATCATTGGGCTGTTGGGATTGCTGCTATAGAGACAGAAAGCAGACAACTGAATGCCCTGCCTGATCTCTCAGCTGAGCCCCCTCTGTTGGACTGCTGAGAGCTGAAGAACAACAGGAACCAATCACCACAGCAACAGTGCACCAGCAGCAATTCTTCATCATAATATAAATTTGCTATAGAACATCACAACAAGGGCAAAGTGCCTTTTTTTTCCCCCCTTAATTAAAACAAAATAAAAACCTAAATAAGACTTGTCTCAACTTGTCTGTGTGACTCCCTCCATGAGATAATTTGGGACCTGGGTCTGTGGCTTGTTCACCCTAGATGGCCAGTACCTAAGTCCAGTGGGGAATGGGGACTGACCATGGGGTGCCAAGGCCTGAATGAAGTCATGCCACCACTGAGGGCTGCTGGACCAGACATTCTGGATTATTCTCAAACTAGTACAGGTTACTTGAGGTCATTTGAGGCCCTGATCAGGGTTACTTGAGGTCACAGGGGTCATTTGAGGTCACATTTGGGGTTACTTCAGGTCATTTGGGGTCATTTGAGGTCATGATTGGCGTTACGTCAGGTCATTGGGGTCATTTGAGGTCACATTTGAGGTTACTTCAGGTCATAGGGGTCATTTGAGGTCACATTTGGGGTTACTTCAGGTCATTTGAGAATTTTTTGGTTTTTCAATGGGTTACTTTAGGTCATTTGAGACCCTTCTTGGGGTCATTTGAGGTCATGACTGGGGTTACTTCAGGTCATAGGGGTCATTTGAGGTCACATTTGGGGTTACTTTAGGTTATAGGGGTCATTTGAGGTCATTATTCAGGTTACATCAGGTCATAGGGGTCATTTGAGGTTACAGGGGTTACTTGAGGTCATTTGAAATGGTTTTGGTTTTTCCAGGGGTTACTTTAGATCATTTGAGACCCTTCTTGGGGTCATTTGAGGTCATGACTGGGGTTACTTCAGGTCATAGGGGTCATTTGAGGTCATTATTCAGGTTACTTCAGGTCATAGGGGTCATTTGAGGTCATTATTCAGGTTACTTCAGGTCATAGGGATCATTTGAGGTCATTTGAGGCCCTGATCAGAGTTACTTTAGGTCGCAGGGGTTACTTGAGGTCATTTGAGTATTTTAAAATTTATTTTATAATTTGACTTTTTTTTTTTGTTTTAAATCTTTACTTGAGTTTATTTGGGATGACTTGAACGGGAAGCCCAGTTCGCAGAGATGCTGCCTCTGGACTTTGCTGTCCATAACATCCAGCCAGGACATCTGGACACAGGTGGACATACCACACTCAGGTCAAGGTCTATAAAACCCTGCAGATTTCGACTTCTCAGCAGGAGGAAACCTCATGTATCAGTAGCCATGGGCAAAGACCTCTAGTGATCAATGGGCTAATATGACCTGTCAGTGTCTGCTTTATTCTCTGGATTTACTTGCCACACCTCTTGCAGGGACCAGAGGTGGAAAAGTCAAGAGGGGGTGTTTCAAGTGTTGCAGGTTGTTAAAAAGGGTTCAGTTCATAACTAGGGTTTGTAAAGACAAAGTGAGAAATAAGAGGAGGGATTGAAGGGAAAGCTCATGTGTTCACAATTTGATGAAGGGTGAAGGTGTGGATGTTAGCATCCTTGAAAAAGGTCTTGGTGTTTCTGCTAGCTTCAAGCAGCAGGTTTGTTGCAGAGCCCAGATAGGCTTGTGCCATGGTCAACTCTTTTTATTCCAATAAAGTTGCAGGACTTCTCTGTCTTCTTTTTGGACGTAAGCCTCTGGCATTTGTGGGTTTTCCTGACACTGGAAATGTCTATACCTGTTATTCTCAAGTTCTTGTGGAGCCAGTGAAAACACTTTACCTCTTTAGAACTGCTCCTTTTGTTGATTTCTCTTGGAAAATTGTACCTGCTCAAATTGTAGCAGAGCCCCAGCCATTTTTCAATCCATGAAAAACAACTCTCAAGAGATGAAGCCTACTGGAGTTCAGGAAGCCACAGGCATTCCCCTCATTCACCTCCTCTCTGCTGGCACAGGAAGGAAGCTGGGATCCATCTCAGCAGCCTTACTTGACATCCCTGCAGAGCCCACAAGCATCCCTTCCCCTCCCAGGAAGAAGGATATTGGTCCTCTCCCCTCATCACAATTTCCACAGAAATTTCTTATGTTTTGAGACGTGGCAGTAACGTGGAGTTTGCTGCTGAAAGTCTCAAACATTTGGTTTCTGCTTGCCCACTTGCCATATCTGAGGAGCTGGTGCCTGGTGCAAAGCTGTGCCTTTGCACCACCAAGCATCCTGCAAGATGTGACAAGATAGTCTAAAAACACCCTGGAGAGAAAAAAAAAAATCCAAATTCCCACTTTTCCAGGATTTTAAACTTGCTATTAATCCATGTGACTCCTTTTCAATGAGATCATTAAATCCCGAGAAAAAAAATCTGCATTAATCTTGCATCTTATAATTCTGGCAATTTCAGCTTTTGCTACTGCTCTGAGTTGGACACACAGTCTGGGGCTTATTTTCTCCTTTTGACTTCACAATTCTTTCTCACATATATCCTTGTAAAGGTACATTTATATCTATGTGGATTTGCACTGTGAGTTTTGCAGCACATTTCTGAGGTAAAGTGCTCCATCCATATATTACAGGTCCCAGAATCACACAATCAAGGGTAGGCACTGAACTAAAAATTTATCCCAAAGGTAAGATGCTGGATTTCTTGAGGTTGAGAATTGGTGAGGAATGGTCCTGTATCCCTGATTTTTACTTATGGTTTGGGGGAAAAATACAATTTATGCTGATTGATTAGAAACATTCAAGGGTTAATTTGATTTCATTCAGAACTTGAGGATAATTTTCACTTACAAATCCAGGAGGAATATTTATCTGTATGAGGATACATGAAGGATATGGAAAACTGATCATAACTTACTGGAGATAAAGAGGTTTGAGGAGCCCCTCCACAGTTAAATACTGAATCATTGCTGGAAAGCATGGACATGGAACTTCCCTACAAAGACAGGCTGAGAAAATTGGGAATTTTCATCAAGCAGCACTCACCATGCTTGGTTAGGGGAGTCACTACATAGAGGAAGCTATTCACAGGTGTTTTATTCATTTCAGTTTTTTACAGAACTAAAATAAGATCTTTTCCCTTTTATTTGTTACTTATGTGATGGGTAATCTATCTTCAGACAGCTAAATTTCAGGTCCATGTCTTATTAATAGAGATGGACCTTAAATTCAATATTCTAAACTGCTCTAAGCAGCATTTCTGTCTCTATGTTGATTACTTGAGAGCCTGATTTTTAGTCATAGACAACTAAAAATGCATTTCAGTGCACAGTGTTAGAAATTGGGTCAAATAAATAAAAAGTATGACATGAATTTTCAGGATGGTTTATATGTACCATAAGAATTATAAATCTGTCTGTGATTTATGCTATAAATGCTTTTACAGTTAACTACCAGCAATGCAGCTAAAGCAAATGCTTGAGATTTGAGTCCTAAAGAGTTAGAAATTATTGACTGAAATTTTTCTCTACAAGTCTCCCAAACAATTATTGTGGGTCATTTTGCTGTTGGCCACATAAAAGAGTGCTGAAATTCCTTAGTTCTTACACAAATTATACTGATTGAATCTACCCTGACATAATCCACAATTCCTTTATATCTTTCTTTACTGAGCTTTTCTCTCTAGTTTCTTATATTTTTTACAATTATTTCACAATCTTGGCTTTGGGTGTTTGGATGTTTTGTTGGTTTGGGGTGGTTTTTTGTTGTTTTGGGGGTTTTGGTGGTTTTTTTGTTGTTTTGGGGGTTTGGTTTTTTTTTTTTTTTTCGGGGGGAGTGTTGCATGGGGCAGGGGAGCTGCTGAGCATTCTCTTCAAAGAGGTTTTGCCTACAGTAAAGGCAGTTATTCAGCTATTATGCATTTTAGATGTGGGAAGGGCTCGTAAAACAAAAATACACCCATCAAATATTTCCCTGAGCATGATTTGACAGAGGGGAGGTTGGGAACGGGCTGCAGTTTAACTTAAGATTTAATAATGTTCCCAGCTGAGGCCACATGAAGCAGAAAGATCCTGTGTTTGTCTCCACAGACAATCACACTGACAGTGTTTATCAATCAGAGATAAAGCAAGAAGTGCCAACAAGCCCTGTCCCCACCTTGCCTGAGACAGTCTCCTGACACTGCCCCATTCCCTATTAAATTATCCTTGTCTAGGCTGCTTCTGTCACAGATCTCCGGAGCAGCTCCCATCTCTCAGAGCAGGATTACTTATCCTGTGGCCTTTCTCTCTTTCACAGATGTCTAAACCCATATACACCTGTCGGATTTCTATCAGCTCCTTCCTGGGGAGACCTAATCTGTCTGTCTCTGGCAATCTGCACAACAGCCATGAGAAACAGGAGCCATCCTGCTAAGTGTAGCCTGTGCTGCCTATCTGGAGCCAGGATAACATTTCATTCCTGCATAAACCAACAGGCCATTGACTATTTTTTCCATATATGAAAACACAGAATGTGTAGCTATTTCATATTTTATGGTTATGGCAGCACACATCTGCTCCAGCATGGGGTGGCACGCAGCAGAAAAGCAGTGGGTGTCACACATAGCACTGATATCTGCCCTGTGCCTTTAAAAACTGACCACACATCCCATTGAAAGGATCCCGTAAATGTCAGTCGAGGCCTAATTAGTGTCTGCAAAGGTACTTCCTGGCAATAATTGATTTCTTAATCCAGATCCCAATCTGCTCCACTGATATTCTTTAATGACTTTCTGAAGTCAGTGATAACAAATTGGATAAGAAAAGATGTTTTTGTCAATCTGGAGGACTCACAGGAGACACAAAGGCGGAGTTAACGTGGTGCTGTTGCCAAGAGTGACTGAGCAAACAGTGTTTGCAATTACAATTCTCCTCCCTAACTTCGTTTCCAGCAAAGCAGCAGCACTTTAAGTTTAATTATGGCAGCCCCAGAGTAAAGCAGAGTGGGGGAAAAATTGCTTTCCATCACTTATTTGTTCTTTTGTCTTTCACACTTCTCAGCAAACTCCATCATATAATTAAACTCTAAAGGCTATTTGCTGACAACCTGTGGTCAAAACGTAAGGGAAGATGATAATCATGCTCCAGTCAGGTCCCCTCCTTCCTACAGTGCCAGGTTCTGCCAAAGTGCTTCCTCTGCACAAATTGCTGCACATCAAAATCAGGTCATTGGGAAGCAGGGTGTGATGTGA